AGCCAACTTGAAGAGTCTCCTACTGGCCAAAGATGGGATAATTTGAACTTCAAAAAGAGATAATAATTGTAACTGATTGAAGGATATCAAATAAATTAAAACCATGAGTTCATAATATTTAAAAAAATTAACTGATCACCTTCAGAGGATGATATAAAACCAATTCATTATTTTAAAAAACTAGTAAATAATGGGACAGAATCAAACATTTATCTTGCCTTTCCTATATGAACTCGGTAACCAAATAGTAGTAGATGAAAGAAATTTCTCTTTATAAAATTGTTCCAGCTAATAAATGAAAACAACTCTTTCTCTTCCCCTCCAATTTTCTGTCCTCCTTCTAGAAAAAAATCAGTCCTGAAGCCATTAGGTGAGGCAGCACCAAGCAGCCATCTGCACTAGGGAAATGGTGGGGATGGAGGGAGATGGCAGGAGGCAGCAATGGCACAGTTGGAGTCTTAGAGCCTGAGTAAAGCGAAGAGGGCATTTATGGAGGGGTGGGGGTGGGATAGTGTGGAGGCTCAGAGCCCAAGCAGGGGAAGGGGTTGGATATTCCATGTGAGATGGGGCACTGTGGTATGGTGTGGTGAGCCAGAGCAGAGTGCATAGACCCTCTCTATGGTAGGGCATCCTGGCAGGGTCTTTCAGAGCCCAAGTGAAGGGGGAAGCCTGGCAAAGGGTGTCGAAATCCAAGTAGGGCAAGGAATGTGAATGAGCCCAAAATGAGAAATCAGAGCCTGAGCAGGGAGGTAATAGCATATACAGAGACAAAGAGGGGTGACATGTTACAGAAGGGCATTGGTCAAATAACTAAATATGTTAAGGATGGTGGAAGGCAGGTTGCTTACTTCTGGAGAAGAGAGTTAAAAATATAGCCAGGGAGAATAAAAACGCCCTGGGTGATGAATTGGAATCGGAGGTATCAGTGTTTATGGGTATTTTCCCATATATACAGATAAATATAGTTGTAAACATGTACACACACACACACACACACACACAATTTTTTAAATAACATGCATGCATTCCCTAGCTCTTTCCACTGAGAGTAAGGGCCTGGGAGCAGGACACCTGATAATATCGATCACATCTAGCATGCCTATCTAAGTGTGGGGGTGTGATAGTTCCCTAAAAGGGAATGATAGGGTATTTTTCCACAAGAAGAGATGCTGGCAGGCAAAAACAAAAGGTGTCTGCTATAGGAAGATTTTTTCATCTTAGACAGGGAACATCAAAAGGTACTATTTGATTTCTTAAGCTCTTATATTTAGAAATATAGCCTTAAGCATATTACTTAAAAATAGAAAGGGAACCAATAGCTCTAAATGTAGATCATGTACCTTCCAAATAGAGGAGATGAAAAAAAAAGAAAAAAGTTAGTGTTTTTATGTCATCCTGTCCATTACACTAAAGAACAATGTTAGTTCCTAAAGTCAACCCAGTTTTCTTTCTTATACTTTGACAAATGCTCCAAATGATCCTAGCAGGACCTACCCCCCAAACTTTACTGTGATAAAAATTAGGTCTCCTTGGATAGATGATTTTACAGTCCACATTTACCACTTACTGCCTTGATCTTAGAAAAGCTGTTGGAGTTTGTTCAAGTTTTGTGAAGAAAATATCTGATCTTAACAACATTCTCTACAAAGCCACATACCTGACAGACACGTCTCATGTTCCAGGTTAGGAGTTACAAAGCATCTAGTTTTTATTTTCATGCTAGAAAAATTTTCTGTCAAAAGTAACCCAAATAAAAATTACTGTGTTAAAAACTGCACTCTCTAAGCAGCTCCTGTTCTTGCACTATAGGGAAAATATAGCTCTCAGCAGTTGACTTCTGTAACATTCTATAATTATTTTTAGTATGAATCAAAATATGGTGCTTTTTTTCTTGAGAGGAGCTTTATTATTTGTGGTACTTCTGTGGAGGCAGGGAATGAGACAGAGGTTTAGCTCATGTTACCAAAGCATCCCCCTTGATTTGGCATTCTTCCTTGAAGGGTAGGTTCACATGAATCGTAGATTTGATTTACCTCAGGGTGAAATACAAGCTTCTTGTATTCTGTGAGTTAAAATGGTCCTTGTGCTTCCCTAAATACCCCTGGTTTTCAGTGGAATGTGAGCATTCTTGGTAAGAATACTGCTAGATTTATATGCATCCATCGCTATGGCTGGATATTTAATTACATGGTGTGTAGACTTTATTCAGCCAAAAGCTGAAGTGGCTACTTATCTGTCACATGGTGAAGTTTGCTGCCAATATTCTTCCACATGGTGAGGTCAGTAACTGTAATCAGGTGGGACTCTGGCCCATATTTGATTAGAAGGGAAAAAAGTATGTTACTATTATTCTATTTTTGTATTTTTTATATTCCCTTTTTCCTTTTGTTAGATTGAGACCTTCTGTCAATGCATAGTAATAATAGTTGACCATTTATTGAATATCTACATTTGTGTTTGATGTTAGGTATATTACATTAATTATCTCTGATCTTCAAAAACTCTAGAGGGAAAATAATTTACACACACACACACACACACACACACACACACAGAGTTCAAGCATAGGTGCATCTGGTTTTAGAGTTTATATTCATTCTTTATCAAAGTAAACTGCATATGGATAGCTTAGGTTTAAACTGGAGTTCACTACACACACACAGAGTTCAAGCATAGGTGCATCTGGTTTTAGAGTTTGTATTCATTCTTTATCAAAGTAAACTGCATATGGATAGCTTAGGTTTAAACTGGAGTTCACTAGTGTCTTTTCGAGCTGCATTTGCTGTTGTGTTCTTTGAGAAATTTTAAAATTTTACATAAATGAATTTTTAGATGAAATTGTATTCTAGGAAATTGTTCATTTGTGAATAAAATTTCTTTATTTCAATTGACTGATATGGTATGAGATTTGAAAATCAAAAGTTTAGGTTTCAGTTTCCAGTAGTACCTTTTTATCAACTATGTGACCTTGCAAAAGTCACCTAACTTCCCTGAGCTTTAGTTTCTTTATTTTTCAAATAGGGATAATACTAATTTACAATGTTGTTGAGAAGATTAAATAAGATTATGTACACGAAAATATTGTGTAACGTATGAGGTTGTGGAGATTGTTAAGATTAATATGAAGAAGACATTCTTCTGTAGACCATTCCTTCATTAAATATCTGTTGAATGCACTTCTATATACAGAACGTGATAAGATAAGATAAGGCAGTGGACAGGTAAACAAGGGCCCTCTCTCCTGAAGTATAATGCTCTGCTCCTATACTGTTAATACAATAGCTTCTAGCCACATGTGACTATTTAAATTTAAATTATTAAAATTAAGTGCAATTTAAAATTCAGTTCCTCAGTCACACTAACTATATTTCAAGTGTTCAAATGTGGCTAGCAACTACCATGTTGGATAGTGCATATACAGAACATTTCCATCACTTGCAGAAAGTTCTGTGATAAAACTTTTCATGGGAGAACAATTAGTTAGATAAGTATTTAATTCACTTGTAAAGAGTGCTTTGAAGGAATAGTCAAATCAGAGAAAGTCATGTTTGAGCTAAGAGCTGAAGGATAAGTAGGGATTTTCTATGTAATGCAGGGGTGGGGGAAGCACTTCAGAGAAGGAAATGAAGAGCATTTGCAGAGAAGCAGGAAGGGTGAGGTCCAGAAAGACCTCGTGCATACAGAGCCTGTGTGGCGGGATTAGCCCTACATGGGAGGAGTGGCCCTTTCTTGATTGTAATGGGAGAAAAAAGGAGAGGATGGGTGAAATACAGAGGCTTGTAGATTTTGTGGCAGAGAGTGAGGGTCTTCTTGTTCCAGTAGCTTCCATTTTCTTTATGAAATGTAAGATTTTATGAAAGAGAGAGAGGAAAGTGTGGAGTTTTGAAGAGAATGGAAAATGAATGAAGTAAGTCTTTGTGGAGAGTGGAGAATAAGCAGATTAGAGAGATTTAGTAAAATCTTGAATCAGTAGTCCTGCCAGTCCTTCTGTGGCACAACTTTTTTATGAGGTTCAGAAATGGAAAAGGCTGGCAGTTTTTATTAATCCAGTTAAATAAATTAATGCATGCAAGGCACTGAGAGTGGTGCCTGGCCCATAATAAGAGCTAAACAAGCATTATTATCATTGCTGGGGTTTGTCTGATAGGAGTAACAAACAGAACAACAGAACATGAATGTAGGATGTTTGCAAGAAAGTGCTTATAATGAATGTCCTGTGGAATAAATCTACAGTAGAGAAAAATTGAAGACAACAGAATGGTACATAGGGGGAAAGTGGAGAGATCTGGTATCTGTCAGTGGATGGTCAAACAAATAAGTGGAAAGGAGAGAAGGATTGCTCAGAGTGAGATGTATGAAACTGAAGTAGGGCTACAAAGAAGTATTACACACTATCCCCTCACTGAAGATTCTTACAATCTAGGTAGTATGTGGTATTTCTTAGTGAGATGTAAATAAGTGCTCTATTGTCTTAGTGAGATGTAAATAAGTGCTCTATTGTCTAAGCAATTGACATTAGCAGTGTGAGGCAATCCCCAAACCGCTTGTAAACTGGAAGGGGTGGGGTGAGGGGGATTTGGCATTCAGAGAGTTTACAATGCTTATAATATCCAAGCTTATCCTTGTCTTGAAGATTTAAGTCAAAATATGAAAATCTGCTCAGGTTCTTACAGTATTTTCTCTGACATCATCCTCTTCTTCTGTGCCTAATTCTGTTCTAATTTAAGGGTCACACAGAAACTGATGGCATCAATTGTTCCAACTAATCCTGTGGGTGAATAATACTGTCTTTTAGTTCTATTTTTACTATTAGGAGTAGATTGATGTTGGTAAATATAAAGTAATAGCGGCCTTATGAGATGTTTTTTCTACCCTTAGATGCTTTATGAAGCAGTTTTAAATACAATACTGAAAGTAACTGGTATTTCAGAATATTTAGTAAAGCGAAGTATTATAGTCTAATTCATTTATGTCATTTTTCCTTCCATTTTGTATCGAAGGCTTCAGCGATTAGCCAAAGATCTTCTAAAACAATTACAAGTACAAGACGGTGGCTCATGGGGAAACAACAAGGTTTCTGCTTTGGATCGGACCCTAGGCGAGATTGCTAGAATATTGGAAAAAGAGGTATGTAACTAATCTCTGGCTTTTGATCCTTAATCTTTGTGGTCCTTTCTCACTGTGACAGGACATAGGGCTATAAAGCAGACTCTCAGTATATGCCTTTCTTCTGTGTTTTCAAAAGCTGGTCAGTAATTGATAGGTGTTTTACTTTTGTTCTTTTCAGTTGTTATCAGTTGTTTTAATTGAAGTCCTCTTTAGGTCATGGTTTTTTCAGTCATGTTTTCCCTCACACAAACTAAATGAGATTATTTAATCAGGAATTACAATAATAAAGATACATAATTTTATGGCAAAAAATATAAGACTTTGTATTATATAGCTCATAAAACACGACCAGATTTCCACAAAACATCAGTTTTCTCCCCATTTCCAACAGATTTGGCAGTTTTCTTTAATGACTTACAGTCCTTAAATGTCTCAATGACAGTTAAAAAGAAATCCCAAATGATTTGTAAAGTATTATTCACTGTAGAAAAATGTCAAATGTACAAAGAAGAAAACTCCCTGTAATATCAATTGTTAACATTTTATGGTATTTCTTCTAATCCTTTTATTATACATTTTTTTACATTATTCTGTCTGGCTAATTTTATCATAAATATTTTCTCATTTCTGTAAAAATTTTTGTAACTAAATGAATATAGCATTGATTACATAATTTGTGACATTTAGGTGGCTTCTGATTTTCTATTGAAGATAATGGTTATTTTTGTTCATTAGCTGCATTTTTTTGTTTTCTAGGTTTAAAATTTGATATGTAATATTTGATATATACAAACTGTAATAATAAAAATGACATAAATATAGGGAATAGCTATGAACTCACCACCCAACTTAAGAATTAGACTGTTACTAGTAGATCCTTCCTCACTCATCAATCTGTCCCCTCTGAGGTAAATGCTGTACAGAATTAAAGGTGTATCATTTCCATGTTTAAAAAAAATAGCATTATTAATGTATCACATAAATGTATTGTTAAATAATGTTATTTAGTTTTGCCTGTTTCTTACCCTTATAAAATATACCGTAGACTTTTGTGAATTTTTTTCAGTCACAATTATGGTTCTAAGTTTTATTTAACCTTATAAATATAGGTGTTTTTCATTCATTTTATCTGTTGTATAATAAGTACTTCATTGTGTTAATACTACAATTTTTTAATCCATTCTCCTGACAATGGACATTTGTTTTTGGGGGGGTCCTGTGTGCGCATGAGAGAGAGAGAGAGAGAGAGAGAAATAGTGCTGCTTAAACATTCTTGTATCAGAGTAAATGAACAAGAATTTCTTTAAAGTGGGCATTCTCAGACCTTAGTTTGCTTCATAATCACCTAGAGGACTTGTTAAAAACACAGATTTCTAGACCCAATCCGGGATTTCTGATTGAGTAGATTTAGGGTGGGTCTCAAGAATTTGTATTTGTAACAAATTCCCCAGTGATGCTAATGCTGCTGGTCCAAGGACCATACTTTGGGAATCACTGCTCCAGTCTAGGGCATATGCCTCAAGGGTAAAATCGTTGTGTTCTAGGACATGGGAATAACCAGCTTTACAATAGTGCTCAGCTACATTATGGCATTAGGCAATAAAATCCTATGTAGGAACTGAGAGCAGCATATTTGGTGTGTAGTCACGGCAGAACATACCAAGTCAGTTCTGTGCAACACATGCCTTTCATGGTGTTAGAGAGTTCAGAAACTGTTAGTTGTAAGACGTGTGCTAGATGGAGTACTTAGAGGTTTGATTTGCCTTCTTTCAAAATTAATATATACTGATTATTTTTGTAAAGTATAAAGGCTACTTATCCTTTGATTTAAAAGGCAGTTGCTTGAGGAGAGCACTATGTATATGTACCTTGTCTCACAAATATTGTTTTAGATTGAAGTAATCACAGAATTTTTGAGGAAAAAGTAAAATATTCTATATAAGAAAGGTATTCAGTATGAAAATGTAAGTAAAGTTATTTCATTCACAAAGAGGCAATTTACTAATTCCTTATAATTTTGGGAAGAAAAATGTAGTCTGGCTCCCAGTCTAAATGGTCTGTGTCAAGAACCTTGCTGTAAAGCTGTCCTCAGAGTATACGCTGCAGGACCACCTAAGAGTTTAAACTTACCTACAATAAGATCCTTTTGCTACTTTTATAACTAAAATCCTTTTTACCTAGCCAAGACACACTCAATTTATGAAGACTTCTATTCTGTTGAGTTATACTGACATTTCAGTGTAATTCAGCTGATGATATTTATGATTTCAGTCTAAGAATTGTAAATAATCATTCCTTTTTGTTTGGAAAACTGCCTGGAGTAACAAAATCATTAGAGCCAAGGCCAAGTACCCAGTGAAGGATTTGAAGACTGCCTAGAAGTGACAAGGGTGGGACTGGTGGAATTTTGGCAAGCACTCACAGAGGAATGGTGAGAGATGAATCTCGAGGTCTTAACTATTAATTATTATTGCTTTGAGACAGTTTTTCTTTTTTCTTTTTCTTTTTTTTCCCCTTTTTGTCTTTTTTACTGACCGGTAGCGGGATCACAACCCTCGGTGTTGCGCCCGCACCGCACTCAGCCAGTGAGCAGGAACCGGTCTCCACATGGGATCCGAACCCTCGGCGGGAGCGCGGCCACGCTCCCAAGCAGCGCACTTTCCAGTGCGCCACCGGGCCGGCCCGAGACAGTTTTTCTTAGATAATTTTTCTAAGTTCTGAGAACTACTTAATAGCTAACAGGTTAAATTTGTGATGCACAAAAATGCTGTTGTAATGGAAAGTATCAAGAAACTGAGGAGACTAAGGTTTTGTAGTATTTACCATGTGTTTCAGGTCCCTTCTGACTTTTTGGGTTCTCTGACTCTGTTCAGAAATAAAAAGTTTGAAGTTTTGTTGCATGTGTTATGCTTTTTAAAATCTTCAGCTACTTCTGTTTATAGACATATGTTGGTCTAGGGTACTTGCACCAACTCTACCAACCACAAAAAAATGCTGGGGAGGAGGGAGTGGAAAGCAATTTCTTATAAAGTATCAAAGAGCTAAGAAGAAATTAAAGAATTACCTGGCCAAAGAAAAAGCAAGAATTTAGAAAGTTGTGCTTATAACTGAATGCCCCAAGAACATTTGCCAGACTGGCAAATGTGGGTTCTGATTTGCAATCCTCATGGGAGAGGGAATAAAAGTAAAAGCCTAAGGGCTTCCAAGGGTATGAGGTCTAATAGAAGTATTTCCCAATTTTCCCTTCATAAAGATAGTACCAGAACAGCCTACTCCCTCACGTAATCATGAACCCTCTCATCCCACCCTTAGGGACTACATTGCAGAAGTTATAACCAAAATCCAGATCTGGAGGAGATTTATAGCCCAAATTCACATCACCTGCATTATTTCAAGTGGTGAACTGAATTAGAAGTAGTCCCAGATTGATTAGTGGTGTTCTTAGTAACATGGCAGAAGGAAATGCAAATCCTTATTGGAAGAAGACACCTTTATCACAGGTTTCAGATAATTTCTGTTAAATAATTCTACAAGGACAAGTAGCCATAATCAAAAGACAAGCAGAAAAGTAAATACATCAGTATGAACAAGAACAAGCAGAAACTAGAACTGCAAGACTTTGTAATTACTAGTCACAGATTATAAAACTATGCTTGCTAACTGTTAAGGAAGAAAAAGGCAAGCTTGAAACTCTCTACAGAAATGGACTTAGCATTAGTGACAGAGTACGTAATTCAGAACTGTCCTCCCACTGATGACAGTTAATAATGCTAGCCAAAATAAAATTGGAACTGAATTGCTAAAGGTAGTCAGTAATTACTGGACTGGGGGCTGCATACGATTTGTGATCCATGAGAGGCTGAGTAGTACTTTTGACGTTGTTGTATAACTGGTCAGAAAAAAATGTTGTACTCCAATGGCTGTGGTAAAAACCTCATGTTTTGCTTTGGGATCTTAAAGGAAGGACTGCACAAGGAGAAAGAGGGTAGGCAGGAAGTACACTGGTCATTGCACAGATAGCAACTCAGCTTCAAATTATCTGGGTGCCTGGGATAATCCTAAGCATGAAAAAAGATTAAAATGATATTGAACTGCTAGTACTCAAGGTGCCTATCAGAACCAATTGGAAAATTTACTCTGGAGAAACATAATTAGCAACCTAAGTCTCAAATTCGTTCAATAAAATAATTTTCAAATAGTGTTTGACACAGTAAGGTAATTAAGCATGCAAGGGGGCAAGACAATATGAATAAAAATCAATAGAAACAGACCTGCAGAGGCTCCATAATATGCTTACCACATTCAAGGATATAAGCATTAATTCCTTTAAAAGGTATGTAATGCATATGATAGAAAATAAAAATTTGATAATTGAACATTTTAGTAATCAAAGTTAAGAAAACTACAGATGAGGAAGCAGCAGAATAAATCAGCTGAAGAGAAAATCAGTGTACTGGAAGATAAGTCATAAGAAAGAATCCAGACTGAGCATGGAGAGAGAAAGTTATGGGAAATTCAGAAAAAAGTGTAAGAGGTATATAATATATAATGAAAATGTCTAATTTATGTATAATTAGAGCCCCAGAAGAAGTGGAGAGAAGAGAATAGGGCAAAACAGTATTTGAAGTGATTATCATTTAGGACTTTCAAAAACTTACAAATCAATCCACAGATTCAAGAATCCAGATGAAGCCCAAGTAGGGTAAGTAAAAAGAAATCCATATCTATAAACAGCATAGTGAAACCAAAGAAAATCAAATTATAAGCCAGTGTCTTTCATGAGCTTGGATTCTTCTTAAACAACATTTTAGCAAATTGAATCATGCAATATGTAATAAAAATAATAAATCAAAACAAAGTTGAATTTATTTAAGATATTCAAGTTTGGTTTATCACTGGAAAATCAATCATAATTTATCATATTAACAGAAGAAAAGAAAAAACATGATCATCAGCTTCAATTTATGATAAAAATTCATAGTAAACCAGAAATAGAATGGAACTTCCTCATTCTGACA